CATTCTTTTCCCTTTTCTGTCCTTACTTGTTTTCCATTATTGAAAATGTACAGTCTTCCTCTTGTCGCTTCTCACCCTGGCAAGGTTTTCCTCCACGTTGGGGGGTGGGGTTATTGCACTCTCGGGTTCTTGATCTCTTATAGGTAGCATCACATGTGCTCCAGGAAGACCAGCAGCCCCAGTTCCCATTTACTGCATCTGGAACAGAGGAAGACCCACCCTGGGGCAAGGTGTATCTGAGAGAATTTGGGCTTTAGACGTGGGCCAAACTAATTTCCTCATATTTTAGCTGTGTGACCTCCTTTGTGGATTATCACATGGTTACTTATATAAAGTTCCTGACACATTGCTTGCTTTCCCATTCTTGTTACCACAAGCCTGAACAAAATGGAAGAAATTTGAATCATTTTCAACTATTAGCAAACATACATGCAGACATACCCAGATAAATTTACCCAGATAAACACACACATATATATAAAAACCAAAAACCAAACTTACTGCCATTGAGTCAATTCTGACTCATAGCGGTCCCTCATTGGGTTGCTGAGTTGGTATCACTATGGAAGAAGAATGCCCAGTCTTATTTGAATCATTTCCAACTATTAGCAAACATACATACATATGTACATATACACACACATATACATATAAAGGGGAGCTCCGGTAGGATAGTGGCTAAGGCACTTGACTGCTAACCAGAAGGATGGTGGTTCAAACCCACCAGCCACTCCTCAGAAGGAAGATGGGGCAATCTACTTCCGTACTGATACTGCCTCAGAAACCCAAGAAGGGGTCGCTATGAGTCGGGTCTGACTCGACGGCACATAACAACAACAACAACAAAACACATATAAACATCTTCAAATAGATTATCAAATTACATTTTCCAGGGCAGTAAAATTTAGTCCTACTCTTTACCCCTTTTTAACGGGGGATCTGAGGTATGAACATTACGTTGTCTGTATGAAATTGTTGGTTCCCTTATTATGATGCCATCTTCATTCTACATTATAACACATAAGAGGCTTAAAATTTATTTTAAAAGTGATTTCTAAAAAAACACTAATAACAAAGATAATAATAGTATCAGTTATTTATTTTATGGAATGCTATATTATTTATTTTTTGTTATAAAGATTGTGGTATGTATTTTTTATTTTTTTTTTAAATTCTCAGGCAGATGCTACTATTATCCCCATTTTGTGGATGAACAAAATGAGGCATAGAAAGGTTAGGTAACTTTTCCAAAGTCACATAGCAGATAGGTTAAAGCTAAGGCACAAGATCTGTTTGATTTTAGAGTCTACTTTTTATAAATTTATGTTCCTTGTGAGTTTGCACACAGTGGTCATTGCTAACAGAAGGGTGTGTTTTTCGTTTGCTTATCTAATTTACCAACCTAGAATAGTTTTTGTCAGGGAAAACAGGCTTACATCAGAAAAAGTTACTGGTACTTACTAGACTGAAAATCTGGAGACCGCCTTTCACAGTTATCCCCATAGGTACCACTCTGGCATACACACAGACATTCTGTCCCCAAGAGTGCAGGCCGACCATTATTAGGACATGGAGCGCACTTGCAAGGATCAAACTTGGCTGCATATTCTCGAAAAGCTTTTCTCAGGTTGTTCCGTTTTGTCACTGCACAAGGAACGTTTCTTACCAAGTCTGTGATGGGAGCAAGCTAAGAACAAATGGTAAAGAGAAGGTATAGTCATACTTCATTGGCAATATATACCATCACAGTAGGATTCTCATAGAATAAAAGGCAAGGTCTGGAAAATTCCACACTTCACAGGAATTATTGCAGAACACAGTACAGCTGCCAATGGAAAAAGTCCTCTACATGAGGGCAGGAGAATTTCTTTCCCTTTTAGAGTAAGTCCCACATCTGTCTGCAAAATTAGCCAGCTCTGCTCTTCCCAAGCAGTCCCTGGGTAGTGCAAATGATTTGCTCATGGTTACTAAGTGAAAGGCTGGCAGGTGGAACCCACTCAGCAACATGAAAAAAAGGTCTGGTGATCTGCTTCCATAACAAATACAAAAAGAAAAAAAAAAAAAGAAAAGAAAAAAACAAACCTACCCATGGTGCTTAGGTCTACACTAGCACACAGAGTTACCATGAGTCAGAATTGACTTGACAACAATGGGTTTGTTTTGTTTTGTGCTGTTCCTAAAGTAAGGCAGCTATGATGTATTTGGAATTTACCTGCCCTAGAATCCTCCTGTGTAGGAATTATCATACCCACTGCCATTGAGTTGATTCTGACTCATAGAGATCCCACTGGATTTTCAAGGTGGTAAATCTTTAGCACTTGACTGCTAACCAGAAGGCTGGCAGTTCAAACCTCCCAGCCACTCCTCAGAAGGAAGATGGGGCAATCTACTTCTGTAGTGATACTGCCTCGGACACCCAAGGAGGGGTCGCTATGAGTCAGGTCTGACTCGACGGCATATAACAACAACAACAACAACAAATCTTTATGGAAGTAGATTGTCCCATCATTCTCCTTCAGAGAAGCTGGTGGGTTTGAATGGCCAACTTTCTGGTTAGCAGTCAAATATCTTAGGCACTGTGCCACCAGAACTCCTTAAGAAGTGTCATTTGCTTGGACTTATATCATGCATTCATTAAGCTTCAAATGCTTGCATTAAAGTACTTAGATAGACATCAAGTTAGTCAGCTCATTCATTCTCTACTGAAGCTCATTAAGTTTAATTCAAAAGCAGAGAAGTCTAGGGAGGATAAGGAAGAAAAGACTTCAGTGTTCTCTTGTTTTCCAGGGACAGTACTGGCTTTTTGGTGATGCCAGATAAGAAAATTTAGAGTGAAAACTAATGAAGGAATGAATTTGCCAGTAGGATAAATGGAAGGATTACAGTAATAAAAATATGGAACTAACCAACAATGAAGCTCAATTTACTAACATTTTAAATTCTCAGAAATGACTGCTTAGCCCAATATGTGAGTCATAAGTACCCAGCTGATTGACTGGATCTTGTCTTCATACTGTAATCTGTATATCTCTATCTACCTAGTGCTGAGTGTGAATAATTCCACTTTCACAATGCTGAACTCTCCTTTCTTCATTTAAATGAAATGAACATAACAGCTTCTTTGGGGGCCTTTTTATACGGTTATGTTTTTAGGCAAAACTGCTTCTAAATGACATGTGACTAATGCATGGGCAAAGAAAATCACATCTTGATGTAAGTAGACCAAATGCACTACTGGTGAAATCCAAAACTGGTGATAGAAACAGGAAGCCAAAAGGCTCTAAAATCCCATTTATCTCACAGAGCTATAAATGAAGATTTAGGAGTTCTCACCAGATAGAGTGGCAAGAAAAGCACAGAAATCAGATTTACTGTTTACATGGGGAGATGAAGAATAATAGTCAGGACAATGTGAGTACAATTTATTCACTAAGTTCTTCACCTTGGTATTTCATGCAGGCTAAGAATCCTAAATACTGTACTATAGAATCAATAGCAGTAGCAAAAGCAAGGGATGACCAATTTAGCATTGGAAAGAACAAAGTATATTGTGCATGCACAGTAAAGACAGACATTTCCTTTTACCATCTGAGAGGAAAACGGAAAAGGGATTGCATGAAGTTCAATTTGGGCTGCTAGAACATTACTTCAGGATTCAAAATGGAGTCTCATCAGTAATCACCATGCTATTTCCCTCTAGCATCTTAGTGTTTGAAAAACTAGTTACAGCAGTTTGAATTAGGGATTTTGGTGCTCTGAACGGCTCACCGAGTCAGAGTGCACCAAACTCAGAGGAGTAGAATTAGAGGAAAGGTACAGGGGAAGAAACTAAAGATGATCTACCCTGTGGAGTGTGGACAGGCAGCCAAGAAAGGCCATTAGAGACTTCCCTGGGGGAGCAATTGGCAGGCAAGAAAGGCATCTGAGACCTCTCTGGGTCAAGGCAGAAGACACTCCATATCAGCATACCAGCAACGACACCAGCATACCAGCGATCATCCCAAGGATCTAACTTCAGCACCTGATTTTACTGGTAACTTCGGTCAGCTAGGTGTGAACAGGCACATCCAGCACCACTGAAACCCAAGCAGAGAGCCCATTGGTGCTACAGGAGGGTGGGCTCATTCCCCCCTCAGTGGGTCACTGAATAGGCTTGGGTCAGCTTAGTGACACTGAAGGGTTGGTGCTTGACTTTATCACTAATATTGGGACAACCGATTACTAGCAGGCACTCTCCCAATTCCAGTGCAACTGAAACCAAGTGCACCTTTGGCTCTGCAGGTGGGTGGACTCACACACAAACTCCTGAGCTGATCTTGGTCTGGGCATGTTGGGCCACCGCCATGGGCAGGCAGGGCAGAGAGAGAAACACCCGTGGGGTATTGCGGAGCCGGGAAGTTGCCTTGGGTTGGTTTTTTGACACAGAGGGGCCTTGAGAGTGGGGTTTTTGCATGTGTCTGAGATTGGTGGAAAGTGGAGACCCCCTAAGAACTGGAGCCTTTCCTGAAATTGAGCTGCTGGCCTGTAAATAACAGTATGATGTCATCAGCAGCAGCCCCCCCCCCCCCAAGCCTTAGAAACCGCCCCTAGCTTGCTTTCTTTTTTTCCGCTCCCACCTTCTCCACCAATAACTTCACTCATCCAATAGAAGAAACCACATTCAGCCAAAATAAAACCTCCTGATTCAAACTCAAAACACTCTTTATGACAAACAGAAACCCATATTCACATTTCACACAGTGATTCCACCATCACAAAGAAAACTGCAGAGTGACCCAGCATACCTGAATTAATAACTAAATAAAATAAAATAAAATACACTAGCTTCACCTTTTCAAAATATTAAACCATAAAACCAAGACAAAACAAATCAACATATAACCAACAGTTAAAGACAACCTCAAAATGTCTAGGAAACAACAGACGACCTCAAATCAAACAACAAAACAGGACAAGGCATTAGAAGCAAAACCACAAACAAAGTTCTCATTATACATGGAGGAAGAGGAGGCAATAAAATTATCTGAGAAGGAATATAGAAGGTATGTTTATAGAGCTATACAAGCCCAAACGAAAACAAGGAGAACACAGTTCCCTGGAGGAACTCAGGAGAATCATTCAGGAACAGAATAATAAGATTAATGCACAATCAGAATTCATACAAAAACAGCAGTTAGAAATGCAGAAGATGAGTACCAAAATGCAGAAGATGAAGTCCAAAATGACAGAATTACACAACAGAGTAGAAGCACAAAAGAGTAGGTTAGAACTGGCTGAAGAACACATATCCCAACTAGAAGACAAATTGGACACTAGCCTGTATGAAGAAAAAATCAGAACAAAGATTTAAGAGAAATAAAGAGAACCTAAGAATTATACGCAATGACATGAGAAAAATTAATATAAGAAACATTGGAATTCCAAAACAAGAAGAGACAAAAAAGACCACTGAGGAAATTGTGGAAGACCTGCTAACAGAAAACTTCCCCCATATCATAAAGGAAGAGAAGATATCTGTCCAAGAAGCTCGTAGAACCCCACACAAGATAGATCCCAAGAGAAAAACACTGGGGCATATTATAATCAAACTTTCCAAAACCAAAGACAAAGATAAAATTTTGAGAGTGCCAGGGAAAAAAGAAATATTACTTATAATAATCAAACAGTTAGGCTGAGCTCCGATTACTCAGCAGAAACCATGCAGGCAAGAAGTCAATGGGACACCATACATTAAACACTGAAGGAAAAGATATTCCAACCAAGAATCCTATATCCAGCCAAATTATCCATCGAATATGAGGGCGAAATCAAGGCATTCTCAGACAAACAGGAATTATGGGATTTTTTGAAAACCAGACCAACCCTACAAGAATGCTTAAGGAAGTTCTTCCAATAGAGAACCCACAACAGAGATCAACAAAACCAGGATATGTGGCATCAACACTACAACCAAATCAGAAATAGATACTCAAAATGAGACCATAAAACATTATACCTTAAAAACCAAGGAACTCAATCAGTACACAACAACAGTAACTGACCTATCAGAGGGAATAAAACTTCTAGGTACAGACCCTCAAATGGAGAGGAAAACAGGACAATGTCTTTGCAGCATGCACTATTTTAAAAATGTAGAGACAAGAATATACTCCAAGGTAACCACAGAGAAAAGTAACAATTCTTCTAAGCAAATCCAGAAGGAAAGAAACATATGGGTTTAATAAGCACAAAACCAACTATAAAGAAGAAAAGGGAGAAAGCATTAGCCAACAAACTGAACTCAGCACAGAAAAGTATAAGG